GGAAGTCTATGAAGATCTGCTTCTAGACGACCTTTTAAGTGTCATGCTTTCACCCGCATAAGACGACCGCAATTTCCTTGAAGAAATTTCGAGTGAATGCGCGCGTATGCTTGATAAGTCCGAAACTTATAGGAAACCTCTGAACTATCTAGATCTTAAGGATCAAACAAACATTCCTACACCTCCTAAAGACACTGCCGCAACAATCAATGATCCTTGGAGCGAGCTTAAAGCTCCTAAAGTCGAGCTTAAACCTCTTCTCGTCGGACTTAAGTACGCTTTCCTTGGACCGAATTCTACTTATCCTGTCATTATCAACTCTGGTTTGACGGAAGAAGAAACCACAATGCTGTTGACTGAGCTGAGAAAGCATAGAAAAGCCTTAGGATATTCACTTGATGACATACCTGGGATCTCTCCAGATCTTTGTATGCACAAGATTAATCTAGAGGATAATGCTAAAAACTCAATCGAAAGTCAAAGGAGACTGAACCATAATCTCATGAATGTTGTCAAGAAGGAGATTATGAAGCTTTTAGAAGCTGGAATAATCTTTCCTATCTCAGATAGAACTTGGGTTAGCCCAGTTCATGTTGTCCCAAAGAAAGGAGGAGTCACTGTCATTAAAAACGATAAGGATGAGATGATCGCTACAAGAACAGTAACTGGACATTGTATGTGCATCGATTACCGGAAACTGAACGCAGCAACTAGGAAAGATCATTGTCCACTTTCCTTCATAGATCAAAAGCTAGAAAGGTTAGCTAATCACCCCTACTATTGCTTCCTTGATGGATACTCCATGTTTTTCCAAATTCCTATTCGACCGGAGGATCAAGAAAAAACGACATTTACCTGTCCATATGGCACGTTTGCTTACCGACGTATGCCTTTTGGATTGTGTAATGCACCTGCTACCTTCCAGTGGTGCATGATGTTGATCTTCACAGACTTTATCGAAGATTTTATGGAAGTATTCATGGATGATTTCTCCGTCTATGGATCTTCTTTTGAAAAATGCCTAGGCAACCTTGGTAAAGTCCTGCAAATATGTGAAGATAAGCACTTAGTATTAAATTGGGAAAAATGTCATTTCATGGTACGAGATGGAATTGTGCTTGGGCACAGGATTTTGGAAAAAGGAATTGAAGTTGACAAAGCTAAAATTGAAGTCATGACAAGCCTACAACCACCCACAAATGTGAAAGGAATTCGTAGTTTCTTAGGACACGCAGGATTCTATAGGCGATTCATAAAAGATTTTTCTCAAATAGCTAGACCTCTTACGCATTTGCTTTGCAAGGAAACGAACTTCGAGTTCGATGATCAGTGCTTAGCCGCGTTTCATAAGATCAAAGAAGCCCTTGTTTCCGCTCCAGTCGTGCAAGCACCTGATTGGGAACTCCCATTCGAAATCATGTGCGATGCAAGTGACTATGCAGTCGGAGCAGTTCTTGGCCAACGAAAAGATAAGAAACTGCACGTAATCTACTATGCAAGCAGAACTCTTGACGAAGCTCAATGCAATTATGCTACAACAGAGAAAGAACTTCTAGTTGTCGTAAATGCATTTGAGAAGTTCCGTTCTTATCTCGTAGGATCTAAGGTTATAGTTCATACTGATCATGCTGCAATCAAGTATTTAATGTCTAAGAAAGACGTTAAACCTCGGTTGATAAGATGGATCCTCCTACTGACCATCTTTCACGAATTCGAGTTAAAGAAAGATTGCCTTTGAATGATAGTTTGCCAGAAGAAAACATCTACGCAATAGATACTACCCCCACCAATTCCAATACCGCACCACCACGTCAACTCATGCGACGATCAGATGCTTTCAACACACCATGGTTTAGGCACATAGTGTATTACCTAGCAGCTGACATAGAACCACCACAATTTTCGGTTATAGGAAGAAAAAGTTTCTAAAAGACATAAGACATTATTTTTGGGATGAACCCTATCTCTATAAGAGATGTGCTGATGGGTTATTCCGAAGATGCGTGGCTGAAGAAGAGATGGAAGGAATTTTATTCGGATGCCATAGCTCGTCTTATGCAGGACATTTTGCAACCTTCAAAACCGCTTCAAAGATCTTGCAAGCAGGTTTTTGGTGGCCTACTTTGTTCAAAGATACTCAAGCTTATATATCGCGATGCGATAAATGCCAAAGGATGGGAAACATAAGCAAAACGAATGAGTTTTCAAACCAGGAACACAATAAACGATACTATGATGATTTAGACCAGTGTGCTTCTACGTTATTCCTCGTTTTTGCTCTTTTTGTGATTTAGGCCTAGACTAGGCGGTAGGTAGAATACTTGCATTACAAAATCCCACCAGAGGACTTCTATTCATGGAGATTCTTTCTGACAGGATATACTAGCTCATTTTATCTGGACTTAATTTTGACTTAATTTTCTCATTGAAGCATTAGATCAGGGAAACGAATCATACATTCAGGACTCCTTTATCCTTTAACCACTCTTTGTTGATCCTGAATGGCTAGTTCATCTTTAGCTAGTTTCCCACCGAACCTAACCTTTTTCAAACCACATGCACTCTTGTTTTTCATTTTCTTATATGCAGATATATGCAAAAACGTCGGAGAGAAAGAGGATCAACGCGGTTTTCAGTCACTGAAGACGAAGACCTGCGATTTCATTGGAACAATTCAACAAAAGGAGAAAACTCAGTTTGCTTTGGAAAAACTTCAAAATCTTGGTACAATTTCGTCCCTTAGACTCTCTTTCTATAAAAGGTTGTTTCATTCTTTATAATAAAAAAAACCAAAAAAAAATAAAAAAAATAAAAAGAAAAGGAAATTAAAAACCTTAGAGAGTCTAAAAGGATCGAATTTTATCCTTGAGGCAAGCTAGAGTCCGATTATATGGAGTTTTGGAGATTATCTTTATGATTCCCAGAAAAGATCTAAGTCTGGGGGAACAGCTGTTTACAACAGAGGAGGAAGATTATGCAACAACATTTGGCAAAGGCGAAGTGACTGAAAATCTGCGGTCATCAACAGGTCATTCTCTCTCTTGCGATTTTGCATAATATCTCGCATCCTCCATATTCTCCAGGTAACCCGAAACACTTTAACTCCACCACTTAAAAAGCCTTTAATGCCAAACGCTGTCTACCCTGAATAATGCCTTTGATGAGAATTCACCATTACACTTAATGAATGTAGAGAGTTAGTTGACTAGTTTCGCTTGTATTTTGGTGAGAATTTTCTAGACTAGATCCAATTAGATGTTCCACGATTAGTTATGTTTTAGAAGGACGATCACTGAGATATTGTTTAGTTCCTGAGATTTTCAAAAATTTCTTTCCTGACTTAAGTTTGTTTGAGGACAAACAAAAAGGTAAGTCTGGGGGAGTTGATAACACCGTATTTTGACCACTTTTATGGATCATAATTATGTCTGTGTGAGCCAAAACTCGCATAACCAGAAATTTGTTTAAGGAAAACTAAGGGATCGGAAACTTCTAGGGTTTATCGTCAAGAACAGTAAGATCGAAAGAAAGTTTTTCTTGATGTAAAAGTATTTAGCTCTTATTGCTTAGGGTCGTAAAAAGTTACAGAATGAATTGTACACATCATCTATTTATACTAATTCCCCGAACCGCCTAGCCGAGAATCTCGGGAGAGATTTTCGGAACATTTCCTTATCGCCTCGTGCGGCTCACCGCCTTTGTATTTCGCCTAGGGTTTTTATGGGCTTCGTCTCTCAAGGCCTTGGTTCAGCCCATTCGAACTTTTCCACGGCTCGGCCCATCTAACTTCTCCACGGCTCGGCCCACTTGCCATTTTAGTCGAGACATGATCTGGTCCACCTCACCGAGGCACGGCTTGGTCCAGGCATGTTGGAAAGAGGCTCGGCCCAGTTCTTACGATACGGCTCGGCCCATCTATCTTTCTTCACGGCTCTCCCTACTGGTCTATCTTCACGGCTCTCCCACTTGGTGATCGCGGCTCTCCCACTTGTCTTGGTGAGAACGGCTCTCCCACTTGATGACCACGGCTCTCCCACTTATCTTTCTTCCATACTTAGTCATTTTGAGATGGTTTTATCTACTTGGGGTGAAAACCGACCCCAACAGTTAGCCCCCCAGCTCGTCAGTTTCGGAGGCGAGAGTGACGAGGTCCATTACTCCTGACCGTGAGGATACCGAAGATGCCGTGACAAGTTAAGGATGAGGCGATTTTGTTTAGTAATGATGAGCCGAGGCGAGGCGATTTGAGAAGGTTATGCCGAGCCGAATAAATGGTGAGGCGTTTCGAGAGAAAGTTCGTGCCGAGCCATTTTGTTAACGACGAGGCGTTTCGAGAGAGGGAGTTGACGCCGAGCCGTTTTGTTAACGACGAGGCATTTTCGAGAGAGAGTTCGTGCCGAGCCGTTTCGTTAACGATGAGGCGTTCCAAGAGAAAGAGTTAATGCCGAGCCTTTTCGTTAACGACGAGGCGTTCCGAGAAAAAGAGTTAATGCCGAGCCGTTTCGTTAACGACGAGGCGTTTCAAAAGCAAGGCGTTAATGCCAAGCCGTTTCGTTAACGACGAGGCGTTTCAAGAGAGAGTCAATCCCGAGCCGTTTCGTAAACGACGAGGCGTTTACTTTGGTAAGATACCGGCTGAAAACTTGTATATCCCAACTGTTGGTCTTCCGAGAGAAGATTCCTGATTTATTGGCGCGTGCAACCGACGCAGTTCGGTCTAGCCATTTCACTGCAGATTCCACGCACTGTTTGGACGGTTTCCCGAGGTTTACGCGGAATTCACGCGCTTCGGTTTTCCTATAAATGGGTGAGCTCCTTCATTCTTCCTCATTATCTTCAGACTCACTCGTTTTTACTAAAGGTAGCTCTCCCTTCTCTCTTCTTTCTCTCTCTAGTTTATTTATTTTCCGGCTAGGGTTTTCGAGGTCTCCGCCGTTCCAGATCTTTTTCCGGCAGAGGCTCGCCGAGTTGTGCTGTAACTCTTGTATAAGTCGCAAATTATGTCGAGCTGCTCCGACGATTCGTTGGATTCACTTTTTCATTACGAGCCGAGCCGCATAGATGCCGAGGCGAGAGGTACGGCAGAATCCTCCGAGGCGTCTGTTTCGCCGAGCCCCTCCAATCGTTCATCTGATGAGGCGTCAAACCATGCAAATCCGTCAGATGTCGGCTCTCTGGATGACGAGTCGTCGGTTTCAAAGAGCCGTCCCCAGGATCCCGTTCCTGGTGAAGACATTAATCGCGCCGCACTTAAGGCCGAGGAGGAGGCATTTCCCTTTGACCTTTTCGAGGCAAAGCGTGAATTGGAACGTCTCATGGCGTCCCGAGGCGCTTCCACATCTGGGCGAGGGCCAAGAGTTAAGAGACAAAAACCTGACCTGCCTGGCTCTACGCTTTGCTCCCTTGAGTCGCTCGAGGCGTTGAGGCATCGCTTCGGGATATCCGAGGCGGTGGAGTTCGTCGTTCCAGAGAAGAGCGACCGAGCCGACAAGCCTCCAGAGAATCATTTCACTCTGTACGAGGCGTTCTTCGAGCTTTGCTTCCTCTGGTTCCCGATCCCCGGAGTGATCTTTGAATATCTCTGGAAACACGGGATCTCGATTGGGCAAATCATGCCGAGGGGATTAGGGCATATGATTGGCATCTTAGTTCGAAGCTTCGAGTGCGGAGTTGATATCCAGCTGAATCACCTGCTGAACTTGCTGGAAATCAGGAAAGCTCCGAAGGGAAATAGATTCTATATTTCCAACAAGGCGAAGGGACGGATCATCGGCGGTTTTCCCAGCAATGATCAGTTTTGGACTGAACGCTTCTTCTACGTCTTGGTGAACGAGGCGTCGGTCGGCGAGAATTATGTTCAAAGAACCAAGACCGCTTGGGGACCACTTGGTAGCCGACCCAAAGCTTTGCCTCGGCTCGGAACTGTTCTTTGGTATCCTCTTCCCTTACTGAAAATTTTCTTTTTTGCTTTGTTTTGTAGTTCGGTGCTTTTTTCCCCCGATTCCCGACGACCTCTTTACTGTTCGAGACTCTCTTTCGGCACGGAAGGTTAATTGGAGGAAGAATTTCACCCTCGAAAGAGTGGAAAAAGCGCGAGCCATCCTTGCCGGAGTCCCCGTCAGCTCTTCATCCTCCAGTTCTTCAAGAGATACCCGAGAGAAGATGGTGATAATCGCTCTCAGAGAGAGGAAGAGGCGCGAGGAAGAAGAGGCCGCGAGACGAGCTGCCGAGGCGGCTCAAGCGTAGACCGAGGCGGTTCCAGCGCAGACCGAGGCGGTTCCAGCGCAAACGAGGCCATCCCTCAACCCGACCCGCTGAGCCGGGAAGGAGACGAAATGGTCCGTGCCGCAGAAGGCAATACTGCTGAGGCGGTCGAGAGAGATGCAGCGCCCGAGGTGGAACCAGGCGAAATTATTCCCGAGGTGTCCGGGGATAAGTCAACGGTGCGGAACAAAACTCCTTCGAACTCCGCCATTTTAGCCCTCCCGAAGTCGACGAGGCCCCCGACTTCAGTTGTTCAGAAACATGACCCGAGCCGAAAACGTTCGGCCGCTGACAAGGGGAAGGGCGTTGCTATTCAGAAGGACGAGCCGTCCAAGAAGAGGCGGAAGCCGACGCCCGGGGACCCCGCCGCGCGAAAGTTGGTCGTCGACGACCCCGACGCCTCTGCCGTCATGTTTTCACGTGTAAAAAACGCGAACACGCGTCTTCCTCCTCCGGAGAAGTTGAGGAGGCCGAGGTCATACGACGCGATGGCACAGCGCGGTACCAAGGTACGTTCTACTTGCTTTCCTTTATTTTCACAAATTTTTACTAAGTGTTTAACGCGAGTTTGTTCTTTGCAGTTTGTCGCGGCCATTAACGACCTGATGGCCGAGTACGAGGCGGACCTGTCTAAGGTCGAACGTCGCTTGGACGAGGCCCGAAATGAGACCGCGGCGTCAAAGGCAAAGCTGGAAGAGGCTCAGAACGAAGCCGCGGCGGCGAAGGGGAAACTTGACGAGGCGATGTCCAGAGTGTCGAGGCTGGAAGTGGAGAAAATAGTTCTCCGCGCCAACGTTGACAAAGTTTCCGCCTCGGTGATTCGCCTGGAGGAGGTAAGGAGAGCCAAAAGCGCCGAGGTGGCGTTGCTGAAGAGGCGTATCGAGGCCAAGGACGCTTTGTTCGACGTCAAGGTCAAGCGGGCGAAAAAGGAGGCGATACGAGAGCTTACGGCGAAGTTTCAGGAACGCCTCGCCAAGGTGGAGGAGGGTTTGGCCAAGCTCGAGAAGGCCAAAAATGACGAGACCGATTTGGGGCAAATCAAGGGCAACCTTGCGATGATTGCCATCCTGAAGAAACCAGATGCCCCAACGTTCGATGATGAGGACGCGCAGCTAAAGAGCTGGGAGAGCGAATATGCCGATGACGACGCGTATGAGCGTATTGCCTCCGAGATTCGAGGCGAGCTGGTTTTCTCGCCCGTATCGCCGGACTCGGTCGACACCAGCCTTGGTACCAAGCCGCTCGAAGAGACAGCGGCCAACTTAGGCGTCGTAGATCCGAACAGATCGAACGCGGGTACGCCCGTCCTCTCGAAGCTCCTTGCCGAGCGTGAAACGCAGTCCGCGGCCTGATACTCTCTACTTTCCCCTGTTTTGCCTCGCATGCTTCTGTTACTTAGGATTTTTATCTGCTTTTGAACTTTTTATGTAACCGGTGCCTGGACGGCTTTATCCACCTGACATTTATTTTGCTTTATGGATATATTTTATTTTCCTTAGCCGTTTTCGGATTTACTTGTCGAACGATCCGTGAAAATGTTTACGAAAACTGTTGGCTTAGCAAAATTGCCAAGGATGAAAACTGAGTGTCGAGAATGATTTTGATTGCTTCCTTAGCCGAGCTTTTCAAAATTGATAGAAATACGGGCTAAGGGGTGAATTGTGTTAAGGATCTCGTTTGGATTCTTAATCCCGAGCTGGGAGTTAGTTTTGCGGAGCGTTTTGCCGGATACAATTTTTAAGTGATAATGTCGAGGCAAATTTCCGCTGGCAATGCCGAGCCGTATTTAATGACAAGGGGTTTTCGCTGTGTAAGGTGTCGAGCCGTGTAAACGACGAGGCGTTTTCACTGTGTATGGTGCCGAGCCGTAAGAACGACGAGGCGTTTTCTCTTTGCGTGGTGCCAAGCCGTGTAAACGACGAGGCGTTTTCGCTGTGTATGGTGCCGAGCCGTAAGAACGACGAGGCCTTTTCGCTGTGTATGGTGCCGAGCCGTAAGAACGACGAGGCATTTTCTCTTTGCGTGGTGCCAAGCCGTGTAAACGACGAGGCGTTTTCGCTGTGTATGGTGTCGAGCCGTAAGAACGACGAGGCGTTTCGTTTTTGTTAGCCAAGGATGATTTGGTAGTCTCATTGAATCTGACTATGGACCGGCGTTTCCGAGAGGATGAATATATTTGTCCGGGTTTTAAGAGTTTACTTCGGTTTTAGAGAAAGCGATGTAGTCTCGACTTATATTCTCGTGTGCGATAGTAAACCGTGGCGACCTGATACGTTTTTGGTCTGATATTTGTATAGCGCGCTTAATTTTTATCCGTAAAGGATGTAACTTGCACCCTCGTCGTAGGAAAGGTGGTAAAAGTCCGTTTAGAGAACTTTTTATTTGTTTCCCCGTTGTGGCCAGCAACGAGACGAGGCGTTCGGAGGCTTAGTTTGCCGAACTGAAACTGAGGGCCGATAAAGTCCGAGGTAATCAGGTCATGATATCATGCCGAAGTGGTATGATGCTCGCGAAGTGATAGTGAAAAAAATTAAA